ACACTCGCTTTCCCTCAACCTAACCAAGTAGTTTTTGTGCCGAAACCTGGTATGCTGCATGTTTATTATAGCCATGACACTGAAAGGCCCTGTCCATCTCCTTCAAAGCCTGCAGGATGAGGAAACACCCAGAGAGTGCAGAGTGTGGCCCCGGGGCCCGACCTTCCATCCAGAAGTGAACTTGGACATAAAAGCAACAAAAAGAGCCCAAATGAAAGGGAAGAGTCTCTGGGTGTCATCATGTGGGAAGCAGGCCTTTGTGCTCAGGCTGCAGGAGATGGATCTGTGTGCATAACGATGTTGTTGGATTTGAAAACGATGCAGGGATCAGGGGAGTGCAGACCACCAGAAAAAACATACAGAGAGGAGCTGATGTTATATACGACTGAAGGAAGCAAGAAATAAGGAGTAAAAAGACTCCGTGGGGAACAAAAGATCTCATTAACCCATCAAATTCACTATATATTAAATTAGTCATAAAGTAGCCTGAGCTTGTACCAACATCAAAATAATGTAATAATATCAATAATTTAACGCCCCCCGCCCGCCCCAACAGAAACTGTTAACTTATTTCACTGCAAATACTTAAATTCATGTAAGATTAAATTTCATTTTTAAATCGGTGTGAAGCCTTCTCTGACATGTCTGATCCTATCAAAATAAAACTTCCTTGCTTTTCGGAAACCACAAAATCAAAGCTAAAACCTAACAAAACACAAACACAAGCCTTACAGGGTTAAAAGTGTGTGTCATTTACACTCTGAACGTTGTTTAGAAAGATGAGGACAATATCAACAACAGTAATAAAGGTTAAGTTGAAATGCAGGTTAACACGTTTGTAGCTATTTACATTGCTAAAACCACCGGATGAATTTGTGGGTTAGACCGAGCAGACAAATGTGTATTTCTTGACATTATATAGTTCCTTAAAAATGTTTGCATAAAGCCGAGCGAACACCGCCAGCTTACAGGGCGCGTCATTTGTCGTGAATGCTTTGCTATGTGTTTACTTCCAGTGAAATGACCAAATTAAATAAGGAACTGTTTTTGCCTCAGTATGTCCAGTGCGCACACTTCCAAAAACCCAGAAAATAAAAGCAGCGCGTCTTCGCCCCCACAGAGAGAGAAGGAGAGAGAGTCAGGACGACAGCTCGTCTCACATCCACAGACATTTTCAGAGGCAGCTTCTCAGTCTGAGCAGCACTTTTTGTATCGGGATTGTCATTCCAGCCTCCCCTCTCATCAGGGTCTGTAGTTTTAATTTTACTTCATCCCGACCAGTAGCGGCTGAAAGCCCTCACAACAACAACAGCACATATGCATCGGAGCCGCGGCTGGGGGAAGACCCGGCCGTGACTCCATCTCCATCCTCTGCAGATTCGTTTAAACTTTTCATTTCCTACAGGCGGAGGATGTTTGCTTTCCAACTCAACAAGTCTTTTTTATTTAGCGGACATTAACTGTTGATGGCTGCGGAATGGAGATAGCTTTGGTGAGCTTTGACAACGGCGGCGCCAAAGGGAGCGGTGGTAGCGGTGGCAACAATGCCGAGGAGAGCTGCCGTAACGCGCTGGGTGTTCCTCAGTCGGGCTTCGTTCAAAGCGGACTCGGAGGGGACTACAGTAAAGAGCTGAACACCCGGGGGAGTCCTCAGCAGCAGCAGCAGCAGCACCCAAGCCCCTGGAAAATCAACGACATGAACAACACTTTCAGCTGCAGCGAGAACGCTATGGATGCGCTTTTACGCGCGGACCACAGTCCCCATCTGTTCGACGAGGACATGCTGGACATGGACATGGACACAGAGAACAACGAGCGGGTGCTTATTAACATAGCCGGGCTGAGATACGAGACCCAGCTAGGCACCCTGAACCAGTTCCCTGACACTTTACTGGGAGACCCTGCTAAAAGAATAAAATACTTCGACCCACTCCGGAACGAATACTTCTTCGACCGCAACAGACCGAGTTTCGACGGGATTTTATATTTTTATCAATCGGGAGGGAAGATCCGGAGACCTGTCAATGTGTCAATTGATGTGTTCGCAGATGAGATTAGGTTTTATCAGCTGGGAGAGGAGGCCATGGAGAGGTTCCGTGAGGACGAGGGCTTTATAAAAGAGGAGGAAAAGCCGCTGCCTCAGAATGAGTTTCAGAAGCAGGTCTGGCTCATATTTGAGTATCCGGAGAGCTCCAGTCCGGCCCGGGGCATCGCCATTGTGTCTGTGATCGTTATCACCATATCCATCATCACCTTCTGCCTGGAGACGCTGCCGGAGTTCAGGGATGAGAGGGAGCTGCTGGTCACCAGCCGGCTGGACAACAGCACCGCGCCCCGTCCGTCTATCACCTTCACCGACCCCTTCTTCATCATCGAGACCACGTGTGTCGTCTGGTTCACATTCGAGCTGCTGGTGCGTTTCTTCGCCTGCCCCAGCAAGTCGGAGTTCTCCAAGACCATCATGAACATCATCGACATCATGTCCATCATGCCTTATTTCATTACCGTGGGCACGGAGCTGGTGGAGCAGCAAGGCCAGGAGCACCAGAACGGGCAGCAGGCCATGTCGCTCGCCATCCTGAGGGTCATCCGCCTGGTCCGGGTCTTCCGGATCTTCAAGCTTTCCAGACATTCCAAGGGGCTCCAGATCCTGGGGCAGACCCTGAAAGCCAGCATGCGGGAGCTGGGCCTCCTCATCTTCTTCCTCTTCATCGGGGTCATCCTTTTCTCCAGCGCCGTGTACTTCGCAGAGGCGGACGAGCCGGAATCTCACTTCTCCAGCATCCCCGACGCCTTCTGGTGGGCCGTGGTCACTATGACCACCGTGGGCTACGGCGACATGAGGCCGGTGACGGTCGGAGGCAAGATCGTCGGCTCTCTGTGCGCCATCGCCGGGGTTCTCACCATTGCGCTGCCGGTGCCGGTCATCGTCTCCAACTTCAACTACTTCTACCACAGGGAGACGGACCAGGACCAGTCCTCTCTGAAGGACGAGCCGAACAGCGGCCGAGCGAGCCCCGAGCTGAAACGCAAAGGGAGTAAATCCTCAGCCAAGTCGCAGGATGTGGAGAGCAACGACGCGGGCGCATCGGTGGAAAAGGCGAACATCAAGGCGAACAGCAGCATGGACTTCAAGAGATCCCTTTACGCATTCTGCTTGGACACACGGGAGACAGACCTGTAGTCTTGCAGTCCTCACTTTTCTATTAAAGCCCATAGCTGTGTAGAATAAAGCGCCATTAACGGGCTGTTAAGTCTTAGCACTCGCAGCTGGAGGAGCAACACTTTGCAGTCTTGACGGGGTTGATTTCAAACAGCACATTTTAACCCCTGTCGTTTGCCGAGCACTTCCCTTTGTGAGTAAACGAAGGAGTCAGGAGTAAATCACCGTGCATGTGATGCGACACGGCGGCCCTTTAATAAAGTAGGAGCACCTGCAGGACACTCGCTCATGGATGAATGAGTGTGGAGGCAAAACAGGCCATCTATGATAATCAGGGCATGGAATCACCACTTGACTCAGAGGATCAACAGGACCAACAGACTCTCTGTACATAAACAGTCCACATTCCTAGTACAGCAGAAGAAAAAGCCAAATTGTATTTTTTCGTACATTCCCTGCATTTAGTCACGATGTTTATGTTAGAAAGTTGCAGCACACATGTACATATTCCTCACAGGCCTATGAACTGGAGCCTGGTGGTATTGTGATCTGGAGACATGTTTGTGATGCAGACGCCTGCTTTCCTCCATTCAGATTTTGTCAGAGAAGAGAGACCATTTTTTCCTAAATGAGCGTGGCTCCACTCAGAGAGGACCTAACAGCCTTATTTATCATCATTTTAAAATAAGCAACATTTGTTATTGTTTTTGTAAAGGACATAAGATGAAGTGTGTAAAACCAGGGAATAACAGCCAACAGCAGAGGACAACGCAGAGACCATCTGGAGAGATCAAGCAACACTGATGCCAGGTTTGTGACTTAAAGCAAATTACCTGACTATTTTTAACTTGTTTTGCATTTTAAATGTGGTTTTACTTGATGGAAATTCTTCAGTGGTCAACTAGTTTTTTTGCACAAGTAACCAAACAATAAAACATATACTACATAAAACCCTTATCAAAGTCCTCACAGTGAGTGAGATGGCAGAATAAAATAAAATAAACAATCATTAATAAAAAGACAGTTATACAAAAAGTGAACAAAAGAAAGTATATGTATAATCATTACAGGGCATTATATTAGGTACAGCTGTACAACTAAATGCAATGCAGAACTACAGCCCTGCCACAGCCTCTATAAAGCTCATGATGTTTCAGTTTCTGGTGAAATTGTCAGAAATGTATAAATTCAACTGTGCATATGTTTAATACTGAGCTCATGGTTAAAGATGGGGTTATACTGGACAGCATTGTAGTCAGAGGTATTCCCAATATTCTGAACCCCTTGTGTCTATAAATGGGGAGGACAAAAACAAAGGGGCAGCTCCATAAACTGGGCCCTGGCACCATTTTTATGTTAGGCTAAGATGGCTGATATTTATTTCCTCTGTCTTTCAGAGAAAACTGTGAGCACATCTTAGATAATGTTAAATTATTGTAAGAAAGTTGTTTTGCATTGCATTATAAAGTAACAAAAAGAACTTACAGTATATGAGTTAACTCACCAAACTGAAGGAGAGTTTCTAGTATTGTCCTTTAACAGTGACAACAAACAGGCATGATTGACTTTAACTCAGTCTTTAAGTTGCTATTAGCTGTAAAGTTACTGTTGCATAGAATATGGATGTTTAAAGGGACAATGGTACAGAGTGACGACGCAGACTGATGACGGCAGACCTGTGGTCATTATTCCATCGGGTTACGTGTCAGCTACTAACTGACAGCAGAGATTTACAACAGAGCCTGAAGAGCAGCAGCTTAGAAAACATTCATGTTGGTCTCAGGCTGACATTTAAAACAAAGGCTGTGTAGCACTTTGACTCCTGACTGAGCCATGTAGGACTCTCAGTTTATTAGCAAAGATGGATGACAGCATTTGTCAAACAGACTCTGTGGTGTAATTCCCTGTCTTTCCTGTAGGGGAACAGTGGACTTAACTACCCAGGGCCTCAACAAGCAGAGGGCCCTCAAAAGGACCACGTAAAATTTGACATTGTTAGCATGATAGCAAACTACAGTATAGACAATACATGTGCATGATCTGCTCCAGCTGCTAATTAGACAGCTGTTTGTGTCTCTAGTGCACAGGTGGCATTTTCAGTGTTTACTGCATTAGGTGAAGCTGACATTACAATTATCAAACACAACTTTGTGTGTGAACTTTTAGTAAGTTGAAGTCGGTTGGAACATGACATTTGTGGTTCAGGTTGCACGAGGGAAGTGTGGCCGCTGTTTTCAGTAAGCTAGCGTTTGGGTGGAGGAGGTGGGGCACAACAATCATCCTGAATCTGGAAATTCCTGGCTCCACAAGGAAAAGACAGAGCCGTGCGTACGTCGCAACTCTGGGCTTTAAACAGGCTCCAGTGCAAACCAATGGGTGATGCCACACCTCACTGCGCTCACTGTATACAATGTCTGTGGTCATAATTTATTCACAAAGTCTGCTTCCATTGCACTTTGTTGCATTTTGATTTTTCAAGACCTTTACACTCAAACCTTTGATGTGCAAAGTCTAAATGTGGATGGAAACTCACTTTGAGAGCAGAAGTCACTCGTGGGGCTCGCTGTTGTTACAGTAATATAGTATCATTAAAATTTCCCCTAAGTGGAAACATGAAAAACAAATGGACACTGATGTGTCCACATACTTTTGGCCACACAGTGTAGCTACAGCTATGACTCAGTTGACCTACTTCCTGCTGTGTGATTTAGGCCCACTGGATTTGATAAGGCACTGTGAATATTTGTAATTATTGTTGGGATAATAGAGCTGTGGAGTTTTAGTCATCAGTGCTGCTCTCAACCTTTCACATATCTGACAATGATAGATTGTAATTTTTCTGTTGAATCGCTGGCTCTGCTGCTGCTGACCTTGTCCTCGTGCCTCTAATCGTCTCAGCTCCTCTGCTGACTTCTGTGAGCGTGCAGGTCTATTGCTGCCTGGATCTGGTTAGATTACATAACAGCTGTGTTTATTCATTTCTTCCCCGCTTCCTACAGTTTGTGCACTTTATAACCACGACAGTTCCTTTTTGCATGAACACAACAGTCATGTAGCATCATCTCTGCCATGGCAAGCTTGTGTGAGTGAGCAGAGGGCTGCAGATCCACGTCCTCACCTTCACACCACTGGCGGTGCAGCATCTGGACGCAGTCGACCAAACACCAGTGCACATGTTAGCCTATCTCTTTTATTACGTTCATCTGGTTTCACACAGTAACCAGAGCCTCATCACCATCCCCTCTGGCTAGTGCTGCTGCTGAAGAATGGTGCGTGTTCTATATGGCTGCAATATCTGGGTGTCTACATACTTCTGTTCATATCGATTAACCACTATAATGCTACTGCCACTGTTACATCCACCTATTCCCTCTCTGCTTGGTGTTATCAGACTAAACTGCTCAAGCCCTCACTCTCTTGCTGGACGCATCGATTAGCCAGATATTGCAGGACAAGCCATGAGCACTGGGACGCCGTCCAGTATTCATAAATTCTGGCAGAGCGACGGCTGCTGTGTAATCTGGTGAACTGGCGCCCGTCCTTACTGATCCCAATTGGGGGAAGCCGTCTGCTGCCGGTGGTCGACTCTGCCAAAGAGGGGGCTCAGTATCAGCCATAGATACATGGAAAGAGCCTGGAAAATCTGATATGACTTAGTTTTTTCCTTTCATTCCTCATTTAGAAGCAAAAATCCAAGTTTATCTACGTTTTAGGGTTTGGAGCTGCAGGTTTCATAACATTAAAGGCAAAAGAAAAATCTGAACAGGATAAATACTTTGTTGTGTAACAGAATCACAGAGAAACAGGTTGATCTAAAAATGATACACTTAGGTCAGATTAGGTCAGTAATATGTGTCTGCTTTATGAAGTATTTTCAGACTACATGCGTGCAGCAGTGTCTCTAGCTCCACCAACTTTTACGATGACATCTCCATCAGGATTTTGCTTGTTTTGTTGTTGAATTGGTCCAAATGCATCTAAAGCTAAAGGTCTCAAAGCAAAAGGCCAACACTCTGGGGAGCTTACTAAGTCAGATGACAAAGGAGGTTTCCCAGCTGATTTAAGAGACATAAGACAAGTAGCCCGGAGGACACGCATGACATGATCAACCAACTGCTGTTGGCTATTGGCTGTACTACTGCCCTTTGGCAAGAACTAGTTTCCTGTAGAGTTTGTAAAGAGGTAAAGCTTCAGACCTCTGAAAGTCTGTAACATCATACATCTTTCATAGCTGCCACATATATAACTGCTACTAACCACCTACTATACTGAACATTTGCCTCAGTCACTGGGACTGAGATTTTTCTTTCAAGTATGATTTTTCCAAAATGTTTTGCACAACCTTGAATGGCTCCTGTTGGTGTGACGGCAGGATTGGAGGCTGATCTTTAAGCTACAGCTTCAAAACATTGGAAAAGATTTTAAAAAACTCTGCATGTTGACAGAAACACTCAGCTACAGCTGTCAGAATGACTGATGTGTCATTTCACTGAGAGCGGAGAGGCGGCAGAAACGTAACTAATCCAAGCTGCGCTGTAATGTCCGGCCATCTTGACCGCTGCTCATATAAATAAACACACAGAAGAATGTGATGCCTGATCTTGGTTGTGTTTTACCCTAATAAATGCATAATCGGGGGCTGTCATAAGCTTTGCGTGACGGCAGAGCAAACTTTGACTAATTACACTGCTGCTACCAATCCAAGTCTTCAACCACGGTTAGCACTGTTAAAACATGACTGTAGAAGCAAATCTGTGACATAGCTGGAGACAACGAGTGAAACTTGGTTGCAGTCGCTGGATCTAAAGGTTGAGTCTAGGCTACAGCATGAGTTTGTGACTTCAGTAGCCCCGATTTGCTCGGCACAGGCTGCAAAAGCACTGCCAGAACAGTGGACACCAGGGGACACCGGGACGTCCCTCACATTACACATCTGTAGATGACTGGACTGATCTTGACTGTGCAATATAAAGTATGTGAAACCATGCACAGAGTAGGAGACAATGGGCCCCTGGGCACAGATATTGTAAGTAAAAGGCCCCCGCTCATCTTATTCAGGGTCTCCACTGGCTTTGTGCTAGTTTTTTTACTCAAAAACACAAAACAAAATGGCAACATGACGTTACAACATCCTCATGTAGGTTATTTTAAACCTGGGCTGCAGCAGCAGTCATGTGTGCAGAGGAGAGTAAATAGAAAGCCTCGTTGGTGTGTGATAATTAAGGGTTTTCAGCCGAGCTGCTCAGCTGGCACCAGCTCTGTGACATAGAAATGCAAGACTCAGATGAGCTTATGTAACCTAACTGTTTAGCCAGGGAGGGGAGCAGTTATCTTTAAAATGGAAGGCATTGTGAGGGCCTGAATTCATCAGATCTATGTGGCTAACCAGTCCCGCTCAGTGTCCTACCCTGCCCTGGATGAACACCGAGGTTGTTTCCTGCAGTGTGAGGCTAAGTGGGCTTCACACACCTCCACTGTAAAGCCACAGTGAGTCATCCTGACAGAGGTTTCAGTGTTTAAAGAACCCTCTAGGTATGAAATGCAGATTAACTGAGACATGGTGAAGAGCTGAAGAAATCTGATGGGTGAAAAAGAAAGATAACATTGTCATTTATTTAGATAAATATAAATAGTTAAAGCTGCATTGACAGAGTTTCCCAACACTTCCTGATAACCCCTGTGACAGTGGGACAGGACATGGTGTCTCCCAGCTACACCCCCCCTCCATGACCCTTTGCTCTCTACAGCCTCCTGTGGTTATTTCAGCTTCTCCACCCTGTGTTGTCAAAGTACGGTCTGTAAATCAGCCCCACCTGTCGCCTAGCCAAGGTTAGAAGAAGGGTTTTTCAACACTATCACATCAAGTCTTCATGCCTCTCTGGCTCGAATTGTTCTCAGCTTCTCTCTAACTTACAGGTCAAAGTGTTCCTGATGCCACCAACAGGTTTACTGCAGTTATTACTCCTGACACTCACACACATAGCCATTGTCATTTTGGTTTGTATACTACCGGAGCAAAATTTATGTCACAGTTGACACAGAGCGATGTCGCGTCTCTCCTCTGGTGCAGAACGCCAGCCTGCTGTCTGAATTCACAAGCTGGCTCGTGATTATACCACCCTTAGCTTGATCAGTATGGACAGTACAAGGGCGGGGATATTGGCGACCCTTTAGAATGACAGTAATACGGGATCTCAGTGTAAAAAACGACTAAGGTGTCTGAGTGTGCTTCTCGTGTGTCTGTGAATTTCTCAATTCTGTAAAAACATGATTTTGGAGAAGGAACACCAGCAACATGAGGAAAACAGATCTCTTGTAGTGCGCTCATGTTTGTCCACCATGTTGCTGTAAGAAAACACTGACCTCATATACATCACCCGCTGTACTGTGCAAACTGCAGCGTTGTCCTTGTCATGAGTTTGTCTGACTGAAGCCATGAGGAGCATTTTCATGAAGGTGACCTGAACAGCAGGAAGACGTCTCTTTAACAGGCTGGTGAAGCAGCAGTGTTATGTTTCCTGTCTGAAAATGGCTTAAGCTAGTTACCATGAGCTCCACCTTCACCAGCTGCAACAGTAAAGTGAACCCAATGTGAAATGTGCCATTCTGCAGAATGACTACTTTTACTTCTGGTACTTCATATATATTTTGATGCCAATACTTTTGTACTTTGACTTAAGTAAAATTTTGAATGCAGGAATTTTACTTGAGTATTTTTACACAGTGGTATTTCTACTTCTTGCACCACTGCAGAGTGATCGATATCACTTTAATTAAACTCACAAAAATCCATGAAAAAGAAACTAATAATAAGTTAAATCTGTTTCCTCGGCTGGCTTTTAGCTGCAGATGTTATAGTGCCGCATGCTCAGCTGAAGATGTGATTTGCTGTATGAGATATAAAACTTTGCTAATCTAAAATGCTGAGCTGTAGCATTGGCGATTTCAGTGGTGCAAATGATCAAGTGTGGAAAACTTAAAGGTTAAATATCTTGTTAACGTTTTTGGTGCAAAGTAAATTATCAGACATATTTCAGCAGTTTGGGTCAATAAAGGCTGAACATGCAGTAATGATGGATACTAGTTGACGTGCAGCTCAGACCCGGGGTCCCAGCAAATAGAACAGTGGGATCACATCAGGAGTCAGGGTTATAAATACAGCACTGGTTAAACAGCCCACGGTGCTTTTCCTTGTTTTTTGACTTATCTCCAATGTTACAATGGTGAATTATCATCTTAGACGTGACCTAAAGCTAAAAAAACGAGGTGAACATATGTTCAAGTATACCCATTGCGCAAACTCTTGCTCACAATACTTTTTTTCTAATAGAATAAAGTATTATGTGAAAGTTTAAGGATTTCCTTGAATGGCCATAACATCCAGGCCTTTGTGTGTTCATGTGATCTTGCCTGACATCCACCGGTGCCATTGTAAAAGTAGATTTTTTTGACTGCTCCTGGTTTTGTGGATATATTCTCTCTCCTGCTGCTGTGACCAGAGGATGTGGAGAAAAATACAGAGCCTGAGGTTATTGCATGTCTGGGAATGTTCCTGTACAGGGACTCACTGTTCTCCCTGACTGGGTCTCACCTACAAGGAGCCGGTCAGTGAAGCCCCCCGGTGGCGGTTAGTGATCAGCTCATCAAAGCTGGATTCCCCCGGAGCACAGTACCTGTTTGTTCTGACTGCTTGAGGCCAGTGTGTCTGCAGCATGTGAAAAGAGTGTTACACATCTCTTTTCATCGGTACTTATACCGTTGTTTACCTATCTATGGAGAAGACATTCAGATTAATTAAATCTGTCGTGGTTCATTGTGCTGTCCACTTGCGACACAACACCGGCAACAAGAACTGTGCGTGTTCACGAATTGTCCTCTTGTTTTAAAAAAGAGGCTGTCTGACTTTATCTTTCTGAAAAAAATTACAGACTATTTGGAGTTATGAGGGGTGCAAAGCTAATCTAGAGGTACCCAAGCTTAAACATTAAATGGCTGGAAACAAGCAAAATGAGCAGCCATGGGGACAGCAATTGGCATCTTTATCTGACAGGTTTTTGGTCTCTCACTTTCAGACTCGAGAGACGGCTGGGAGGAGCCTGGAGCTTTTCCAGAGAGACAACAGATGCAGTTGGCCCTGAGGGCTGCTCCTGGAGCCTCCATGTACATCCAATCAGATATCTGATATCTGAATTGGCTGACTGCTGCAGTCTCGTAGAATTCATGGCTGTTCATTTGTGGAAGTTTAAAGTGGAATAACATGGGAATACTCAAGTAAAGTGCTTCAGAATTGTACTTACTGTATTTTCTTCATACTGAAACATAGTATAGCTTTCTAACACATTATGATGATATAAAGCACACAGCCCTGGTTCAGTAGCTCTGTATGTGACCCTCCATTTGCCTGGAAGGATGGACAGTAACGCACCCCCCCAGTATGGGAGCTATTTTTAGGGGCTTAAAGAGGGAAAATCCTGTCTCATTATCCACAGATGAGGTGGCGCAGCTGCGTCATGTCAGGGGTTTTTATTTTTTCAGCTGACAGGAACACGTTCGGCTGCATGCGCCGCATCAGTCATGCATGAACACACAGATTTAATTAATCAGTAATAATGTTCACCACGTCTCACCCCACATATAAATAAACAAGATGTGTGTGTGCTGTAGTCGGCCCCCGTTAACAAAGAACTGCTGTGGATGCTGGTGACAGATGCATGTCAGCACTGAAGACACGTGATGGAGTGTCCGATCCGATGGACGACCAGACACAAGTGTTTGTGTAAAGTCACCAGATCAGAGACGTTGTCTTCATGCTTTTATAATTTGTACTGACCTTGTGTTTTGGACTCTGGTTTGGAAGGAGGCGGTTTCCTCCTCCGACAGAGGAGACCTGGTCCTGACCAGGCTCTGACAGTTTGTCCCTTCAGATGTCACCTGTCTGTCTATACAGTTATGACAGGAGCAAAGGAGGAATTGTGTGGTGCAGTTGTCATGAGGCCTGACAACAGCACTACAAATATCAGATTACAATGATGATACTGCTCTGTGTTAACGAGCTCACAGCTGAGTGTTGTGAGTCTGTGGTGAAAATGAAGACGTGGGATTGTATCACCTTGAAAAGCTGCAGAGTCGCTGAGAACTGTCTGTGAACTGTTTGTCAGTGGCGACCCATTTTGCATGATGCATCTTTGGTCTGCTGTTAGTAAAGAATCGCTGATGATTCGAGCTTTGGGGCAGTGTTTGCCCCAGTGCTTCCACTCAGGGCCAGTTTAGTGTCACTGAGGGGCAGGACTCGGGATTTGGTTATTTTGAAAATGCAACATTACAAACCCCTGCAGAATCTTGATAAGAGCGACTTCAGCAGTGTTGGATCGAAGCAGTTCGCGACAGTCTCATTGCAGCTTTTCTCCATCACACTTCCCTCTCAGCGAGGACGAGGGCGTGAAGTCGTGGGCTGTGTCAAATGTTCTTTCATTCATCTCAAATGGTTAAAACCCAGGCGTGAGCTGGAGAACATTTCATCATGACTGTGCAAATCAAACGAGAGCTCATGTTCATCTTTTGGCGCCTTACTGTCATTTTTAAAGGTGCAGATTTCCAGCAAAGGCCTCAGCGGCACACTTGCACCATCCATCCACTTCCTAAACATGTAGTAAACTTTTATTTCTTCGGTATGTTCATGTACTTTCAGTGTTTTTAGCCGCAGCAGTGATGTCATTCGATCTGACGTGGCTCCAGACATGATTTAAATGAATGGAGAAGCAGCCAGTTCACAGACAAAGCTCATTGTAGCTTTGACTGATGCTGGAGAAGGTCTGAAAAATCATGGGATGATAAAATACAGTCAGAAATTCAGTGTGAAGGGGGCTTTAAAACTAAACTAACTAATCCAACAATGACAACTTTTTGGTCACCACTTTCTATTTTAACTCCTCCAACATGTGCAGGCCTCTTCGCTGCCTGTCACTGTCAGATTTCCCATCATTCCCGACCATGTGAGAAGCAGCCACACCATCCCTGGATTATGTAGGCTGGGTGTGAAAACAGATTTATGCCTCCAGATCCGAGATGTGTGTCTCTCTCTGCTGAGATCTGAGACGTGTGCAGGCACTTTTAAAAGCTGTATTTGTGTAATGGCTGCACAAACACTATGGCTCAGGCGAAGTCCTGCAGGCTGCTGTGCTGTACACTGATGCTGGGACCGTCCTGCTGGGATTTGCAGTGCATAATGCTGAGTGTGCTACATGACCGGCCGGGCATGTTCACAGCCAGAGGTCGGGGAGGGTCTCTGGTACCACACTGATCCAACAGCCAACGTGCATTTCAAATCTAATGCGGACACTCTTGTATTAAAGCTTTAGAAAGAGCAGCTGTTGTATATTCAATATCTCTAATGTTCAAAATGTCACATTTCTATTTTCACATTGTGTTTTTACTGTATTTTTACTCTATTTAATTTTTACTGACTCGGCCACATGACAAAACACAACAATGCTCCAGTGCAGCTACAGACAATCAGCTGATAAACACACATTTTCTATAATGTGAAGTTGTTAATAAAGACTGATACATTTGCTTTTAGCATGAACATTTCTGAACATTAAATATACTCGATATTTCTAATAAAAAATGCCCCCAAAATAATAATTTAATTTTACACAGGATCATTAATAATAACATTATTATGTATTTTTAGGTTTACTTACTGTGTAGTCTTAGCCTATTAGTGACACTGGGCACCACTCCATATATATAATACACTGTATAGAGAACTGAGCAGCCACTTATGCTAATGGTAATAAATATGTGAGTGGATCGACCGAGTCAAGGTCAAACATTCTATTACAGACTTGGCTTGTATCTATACCAATACCGCTGGCATCCATAAACAAATCCAAATCAGTGTAACTGTGAAATTAAATCTCTCCCACTTTCTGACAGCAAAGAAAACACAGCCTGCAGGTTAGCGTGATGTTTCACAGCTCCAGCAGTGAATCATCCAGTCTAACGCACACACTGCTCTCTCTCTGTGTAACGCCACACGTCTTCATGTGAACATACAGAGCTGTCTGCGTTTTAATCTGGTTTGCCTCGTCACACACACGACACTGTCATGCTTAAAACAATAACACGGCCCAAATGTCACAAATGTCACGTTAATGTAAAATTTCATCTGCCAAGGTCAAACTGTGCATGAAGGTGTGAAGAAGAGACGACACCTTTAGTCTCATTCTCTCAGGTTTTTTGGAGGATTTCCTCAGAAATGAGTGAATCCTGTCCTCAGCGTCTCAGGAATGACAAATTTATTTGACAGGACACAGCAGGATGAAATAAATAACGTGGAGCAGCCTAATCAAACCCCCACACAGAGAGGAGGGACATTTAGAGAAATACTGCAGCTCCATCTTGTGGATATCACTGACATTGTCTCTTTATTAATTCATTTTTCTATTTTAATGTTGATTTTTGCTTCTAATGCAGCTGCAGAATGTACAGTACTCGAGCTCCACAGATAAGTAGAAGTGATTTAGAGCTCAGGAGAAACTAGAACCTGGATCACTAATTCTTTTTGATGGAGTCTAATAATATTTCACATTTGAGGTGTCTTGTAGTATTTAATACATTCGTGACCAGAAGGCTGAGTAATTTTAACGGCCTGTCTTTAAATAACATTCATATATTCAGGTGCTCACACAAAAATTACAGTTAATCTGCAAAATGTCAAAAAGCAGAACTGTAAATCAACATATTACTGTTTTCTTTGTGAAACAACAAACCACCGCTGTCTTTTCCACGCATTTCAAACCTTTTGGTTTAACGAGATTAAACTCTTCATTTGAATCTCTGATGAACTTTCTATTTTAACCTCAGCCTCCTGTTTTGTGTGTGGTACCACAGTTACGATCAGGCAGCTAAGAGGGAATGACACTGGTGTTTATTTAGCAGCAGTCGGCGGCCATGTTAACACCTTGTGGCCTCCTTTGAGAACATTTGGCAACAGGACAGTGAAGGTCGAAAGTTCTCCTGGCTGCTGGATTTGTTCCTAATGCTGCATATGTTGTGATGGATTACACTGATCTAACTTAACGCCTAAGACCATGCAATCATTGATAACTACAGGAGCTGCTGAGGGCAGAGCCGCAGATGCTCCCAGCACCATCTGCTGCTGCAGGTAGGATTAACTTTGAGGAAGGTGCTGGAAAAGGTGGGGGTGGGAAGACCAGGTTGGCAGATACTCTCAGGATCCCAGCATCTTACCAAAAATGTTTCTAATTGAATCATCTTCTTTAATTACATGGCTGAGCACATCTCACAGCTTCAGCTCGTGTCAGTTCTGAAAACATTTTAGACTGAGGGACCGGTCAAATCAGACACTAATGAAATGTCACTTCCCAGTTTTTCTAACGAACCTTCAAACGATTTAGTTTTTACTCCACAACACTGATATGACAGCTGCATACTAAACATACTGCAAGCTTCTAAAAAGCATTATTTTCCTTTGAAATGTAGCGGAGTACTAGCACAAGTGACTCAAAACTTCTGAAGTACTTAGTTACGTTCCACCATTGCTTTGAACAATTTCCTGCGCTCTGGCCTCTGAAATAAACATTAAACTCTTGTCTTCTGCTTGTTTCTGTCTCCACAGACAAGTTGACGCCCTGCCTTCTGACCATCGGGAGAGTCGATCTCCCCTCCACCTGGACACTAAAACACTAACGCCGCTGCTGCACTTCAAAAATCTGAATCTACAGCCCTTTTTTGAGCTGTGTGCCTTCCAGCAGACTTCACCAGTGATACTTCTGAAACGTTTCATTTGCTTTTGTTGTTGTGTTTCTTTGGAGCAGGACTCAGAGGACACATCATGCAGGGGAGCCTGGGACCGTGCTGCTTTGTCTCTCTGGAGGAAAACATCAGAGCTAACCAGGACATGCAACTTTGATCATTCTAGCATCCTAACGTCTTCTCTTTTTTCTACAAATCGTGTCAGTGATGGACTTCATATGGGAAGAAATCCCTCGCTGTGCAATATCAGTCAATATTTATGTGAGGGTGTCATGTGGATGTGGACTTTGGGCAAACATTTTGGTTTATTTTTGTAATGATGTTTTCCTGATTTCTATTTTTCTAAAATGATAAGATGAAAGGAGAACAAAATAATCAGTACATTTAAAGGAGAGGGGATGTTTGGTTGTTGCTAACAGGGAGAAAGCTTAGTTTTCCTCAACGACATCCCGTCCTGCTCTGACCAGGGCCAAAGCCATAGCCTATCTCAGACAACAGTGCACCGCGTGTTTGAAACGCGTCGGTGTCCCGAACAGCAAGATGCATTCAGGGTCTCTCAGTCTGGGGCCGACTCCACAGGCTCCACTTGTCAGCTTATCTTAGGGTTTTTTGGAGTGATGTTTTGGTTTTTATTGTTTGTTCAGGGACTTGAATCTGAAGTGTTTAGTATTCTCTACCTTTGTATGGCCTGTTTTCCTTGCTGTTATTTTGTATTTCCTCTTACATATCAACCAAGCAAATATACAGTAAGTGGCATGTGTGTTGCAAATGAGAAAAATGAATGAGTGTGTTCGCAAGAATGGGAGCTGAAATACAGTAAATTCTCAAATAAGAGCTGAACAAT